GTATGACACTGTGTGACGCTGTGTGATGCGGTGTGACGCGGTGTGACGCTGTGTGACGCGGTATGACACTGTGTGACGCTGTGTGATGCGGTGTGACGCGGTGTGACGCTGTGTGACGCGGTATGACACTGTGTGACGCTGTGTGATGCGGTGTGACGCGGTGTGACGCTGTGTTGTGCGGCGTGACGCGGCGTGACGCTGTGTGACGCGGCGTGACGCTGTGTGCCGCGGCGTGACGCTGTGTGACGCGGCGTGACGCTGTGTGACGCGGTGTGACGCGGTGTGACGCTGTGTGACGCTGTGTGACGCGGTGTGATGCGGCGTGACGCTGTATGACGCGGTGTGACGCGGTGTGACGCTGTGTGACGCTGTGTGACGCTGTGTGACGCTGTGTGATGCGGTGTGACGCGGTGTGACGCTGTGTGATGCGGCGTGACGCTGTGTGACGCGGTGTGACGCGGTGTGACGCTGTGTGACGCGGTGTGACGCGGTGTGACGCTGTGTGACGCTGTGTGACGCTGTGTGATGCGGTGTGACGCGGTGTGACGCTGTGTGACGCGGCGTGACGCGGCGTGACGCGGTGTGACGCGGCGTGACGCTGTGTGACGCGGTGTGACGCGGTGTGACGCGGCGTGACGCTGTGTGACGCTGTGTGACGCGGCGTGACGCTGTGTGACGCTGTGTGATGCGGTGTGACGCTGTGTGACGCGGTGTGACGCGGTGTGACGCGGTGTGACGCGGCGTGACGCTGTGTGACGCGGCGTGACGCGGTGTGACGCTGTGTGACGCGGCGTGACGCTGTGTGACGCTGTGTGACGCGGTGTGATGCGGTGTGACGCTGTGTGACGCGGTGTGACGCTGTGTGCCGCGGCGTGACGCTGTGTGATGCTGTGTGACGGGGGGGGGGGGTAGAGGTGCCGACGATATGCTGTCTAATTGCTGTGATCATCATCTGGGAGCATCACGCAATGACTACATGAGACCAGCTACCTGCCGAGTCATCGTCTAGTATTTGTAACTGTATAGTGAGTGACATGGCCCACCGAATGATGGATGGATGGATGAAAGCAGGACGAGACAGCAGAGATGAGCGATGGGGTGGGGGAAGAGTTAGAGCGAGAGTATGGAGATATGGGAGACAGAGGGATGGAGGGTTGGGATGCAGATCTAGACAATAGAGGATGGAAGGAAGGGCACATGGATACAGGGAAGGATGGGGGCGTGTAGAGATATGTGTGGTGAGGAGGGAGAAGGCTGGAGGATGAGGAGGGAGAAGGCTGGAGGATGAGGAGGGAGAAGGCTGGAGGATGAGGAGGGAGAAGGCTGGAGGATGAGGAGGGAGAAGGCTGGAGGATGAGGAGGGAGAAGGCTGGAGGATGAGGAGGGAGAAGGCTGGAGGATGAGGAGGGAGAAGGCTGGAGGATGAGGAGGGAGAAGGCTGGAGGATGAGGAGGGAGAAGGCTGGAGGATGAGGAGGCGACATCTAGGTTGTTAGGACCGACAGTGCTGTCATCTTGTGTTGGCAACTGTAAATATATCTGTCGCTGGATTTCCGACGGTGTGCAGCTCTCGTGTTGGATCTATAGCATAGGGTCGTTACGGAATTACTGCTACTAACACGAATCTAGTTAATGACGGTAAAGAGATCCACGGTAAATCTGCGTGTGTCAGTTAGGGTAGCCCCACCCGTCTGTAGAGTGGTGTGAATTTTCTTGATTAGGGCACTTTCTGTAATGTTATGGGAAATTATATTGTTCGATTGACTGACCTGTTGGTGGATATTTGCGGTACGTAAAAATGTCATATAAATAAATATATAGATATGTACGCATTTTTTGTTTGTCGTTTTTTCGGTGATCTCTAAAGACTGGCCAGACGTGCTTTATACAACACGTAATCATGTTCATACTGAGTGCGTGCGTGCGTGCGTGCGTGCGTGCGTGGGTCGTGTTCGTGTTTGTGTAGGCCTATGTGTCTGTGTGTGTGCGCGCGTGCGAGTGGTATATATGTGTCTGTGTCAGTGCGCGCATGTGTGGGTATGTGCGTGGGTGGGTGTGTCTGTGTCAGTGGGCGCGTGCGTGTGTGTGTGTGTGTGTGTCTGTGTCTGTGTTAGTGGGCGCGTGCGTGTGTGTGTGTGTGTGTGTGTGTGTTAGTAGGTGCGTGCGTGCGTGTGTGTGTCTGTGTTAGTGGGTGCGTGCGTGTGTGTGTCTGTGTTAGTGGGTGCGTGCGTGTGTGTGTCTGTGTTAGTGGGTGCGTGCGTGTGTGTGTCTGTGTTAGTGGGTATGTATGTGCGTGTATGTGTCTGTGTTAGTGTGTATATATGTGCGTGTGTGTGTGTGTGTGTGTGTGTGTGTGTGTGTGTGTTAGTGGGTATATATGTGCGTGTGTGTGTCTGTGTTAGTGGGTGCGTGCGTGATGGTTCTCTATAGCTCCCTGCTATGCGCTTCTTCAATTTAACCTCTGCCGCACTAACAGTAGCAATGCGGCGAGGAATCGCTCATCGCGGCATACATACATCATGTATGATGACTGTACTGAGTAATCGTTGAAGCTATCCCTCTACCCACAGCAGCCGCGAGCGCTGATGCGCGTGTCTAACGTTGACGCTTCTATCGTCCACCGCTGCCGCATGGCCGCCTCTCGTCTGTCCGCGCCATCCACATATCTCAATCATCCGCCATTATCACGCGCCGCGGCTACCATAGCAACGCGACGCTTATGAGCAGACGAAATCAGTATAGCTGTCATCTCACTGCTGCCCCGATAATCAACGATGTGAACGGTTAATCCACGTCAGTGGCCCCCTCGCTCATCTGTCTTCTGAGGCCAGCTATATACATACAGTGTACATACATACAGTGTATATACATACAGTGTACATACATACAGTGTATATACATACAGTGTACATACATACAGTGTACATACATACAGTGTATATACATACAGTGTACATACATACAGTGTACATACATACAGTGTACATACATACAGTGTATATACATACAGTGTACGTATACATACATACAGTGTACATACATACAGTGTACATACATACAGTGTACATACATACAGTGTACATACATACAGTGTACATACATACAGTGTATATACGTACAGTGTACATACATACAGTGTACATACATACAGTGTACATACATATACAGTGTACATACATACAGTGTACATACATACAGTGTACATACATACAGTATACATACATACAGTGTACATACATACAGTGTACATACATACAGTGTACATACATACAGTGTACATACATACAGTGTACATACATGCTTGCTCCCTGCAGGCGACTGATGCCACGTGCATCAGGAAACCGTATAGACGAGATAGAGAATGATATCACGTTGAGTACATACACACACGCGCGCGCGCACGCACGTACGCACATACGCACGCGTGCACGCACATACTCTTATAGGCTACCATGCTGCGGCAGCCATCGCCGCTTACACTTGCGACCTGCTAACATGTGGCTTTAGTTCAATAGAACCTCCTCCCATCATATATTCCTATTCCCGCGCGCTACGACCACCAGGCTGGCGCGAGAAACACTCGGCACCGTCCCGACAACTTCTGCGTATGTATACCGCTGCCTATATATGCACTCGGTTTTAATTTCGCAGTGCGCCACCTGCACCAGCAGCGACAGAGAGTAAACATTTTAGGCAAGTTACTCTCGTTTCAAGCTAAACGAGTCAGGAAGCAGATAGTGATGCGTGTAAACTAGCGCATGCGCAGACGTATATGCAGTGCTATATGGTGGGGGGGGGGTTATATTTCCTGTGCTGGCTGCTGTGAGTCTCTCACTGGTTTTCGCTGCCTGTCTTTGTTCTCGCGGTG